AGCCACTCCAGAGATATCGATCCCACCATCTCCAGGCCCACTAAAAAATAATAATATAAAAAAATGAGTACTTGCGCAATTATCATCGAGAATTAAGAAGAACGTTCAGAGTCGTTTGCGACTGAGACCACGAAGTGTACGTGCATCGAAATCCTTTTGAAAAGACGTTCAACATAAGTACTTCGGAAATAGGGAAGAACGTTCACTATCGAAACCGTGGCTACGAAGAGCTTTCGATTCCCTATTACACAAAGTAGCAGCGCACAACGACTCGACAAATAGTTCAGTGAAATACTCACCCATTATTATTATTTTTGATGCCTACAGCATCCAATCTTTCAGCAGTTTTGTTTTCAAGTTTCTTTCCTTTTTGGTAATTATTCATTGTATTCATTGTATTTGTATTTGTTTGAAATAAGAGTTGAGTTGAGATTTTTTTTTTACGACTATTACTTACGATCGCGTATATTTACCTTTTGTGTTACCATTTTCGATAACGAACACGAGTTTTCATAACGGGCTTATGCAAGCAAAGTATCGATCTTGATAGGTCAGGTGTGATCCTAATATGCATATTTCTTGATAGATTAAGTGTAACACAGAATTTTAGTATGTTAAGACGAATAAGATATTATAAAACTTATTTCGTATTTCTACGTGGATTTCACTTGTTTTTTTAGTTGTGAAATTACTTTTAAAAATTTTAGATAAACAAATACAAATGCAAGAATATTCAACATATTTAAAATATAATAATGAGTAAATTCAGCTAATGTGCCATTATGCCGCGATTTAACAAAGTCTCAGTTAAATTATGTACTAAGTAGAAAATAAAGTTTACTTTAATAAATACAAATAGAACTTTTATAATTTATGAATAAATTTATTAAAATTTACGAATATAAAAAAATTATATACATATTAAAATTCTGTGTTACATTTAATGCCTTTCCCATATATGCATATATTTTATCTGATTACTTCTCACTCGGTATAATTGATTATGCTTATTTGTGACATAAAAACGAATAAACCTAACCCACCGAAAAAATTCCAAGTCCCTCAAATATTTAATAAAATTGAAACACATATACCAGCCAATCGTAGGTAATTTATTAATCCATCCAATCCATCCCATTATTTGGTGATGATCATTTTGATTGGCTATAATAAAATTTCAAATTATTATTAAAATATTTATAATATAAAGAAATAAATTACAATTAAAGGATTTTAATAAAGAAATTTACTAAGTTACACGGCGGTATAACTATTATATTGGGTAAATCAAATTTGAGTGGTTGATTCAGGAGCCCGAATATTATTATCTACTATAACGGTAGTTATTCGGTTGATGCCGGATAAGTGATTATCCTGTATCACGTAATTTAACCAATATTATATTAATATAATTACCATTAATATATATAATTAAAACTTATTAAAGAAATGATTTTATATATTAGTTATGATAATCTTTTAATTTAATAAAACAACTGGAATAAATTTTTAATAAATAAAATGTAACCACGCTATTTTTTCGGAAACATTATTTTAGTTGCTGCCTCTTGAATTTGGGCATTAAACTTTTTCCCTGCCGCCTCGTGCTAATAATAGGATAAATTATTATTTATCTATATTAAAATATAAGTTTATATAAATGAGTGAAATTTTAATAATATCATAAATTTATATTTTTTTATTTTTTTGATGTAATTTTTAATATATATGATTACAACGCCATGTATGATAAGTATTATATTTTTGACGTGAAGTAGCAAAAGCTTAACTATCTAACCGGATAATTATACCAGTACTATGAATTTGCCACTTCTTAGCAAAATACGTTGCTTATTGTGAATTGTGAAGTAATCTCTGATAACCCTTGAAGTTACAATAAAAAGATTTCCTTTAAGTTGCGATTCTGATGGTGTTTATCTATAAAAAAAAAAAAATAGGTAAGTCATGTTAAATCAACTTTATTATAAAATAAGATTCTTACATTATAATCGAAAAAAATGGGAAATGGATTACTGATAAACGAGAATAGAGAAGGATTGTTTGTTTGCAATTGAATGAGTAGTAGGAGGAGAAGAATCGTTTGTAGTTTCTACTGGCACTTCTAACTGAGAAATTGTATAATTTTAATGTTGCCATTGAATTCATTTGATATTGAGCTCTCGTTCTAATTAAATTAATTACTGTTCAATCCCAACGATCGATCTATAATAAAAAATTTAAATAAATTAAATTTCATTTAAAATTTAAATGGAAAACCTTGTATATTTAACTTGGTTATTTTCAAAATATATGGTGATTTTAGCAAAATGATCTGGACTAATTAAGAGACAAATATAAGATTGCGCCATCACCACATGTTTGTATTCTATATTATTTCATTCAAACGAACGATTTATTAGAAGTATCAAACTTTATATAAGAATATGCAAAATAATATCCGTAAGTATACATACGATTAATTTATTAAAAATTTGAAAAGAGCAAGATAACAATGTCAATGACTGTCGAAATTATACAGAGACCCTCGCAGGTTGGCTTCTTTTTGTGATTCAGATAAACACATCTAGTAATAGATAAATTTAAAGCTAAGTCATTGTTAAAACGACTTTTTTAAAACAACTTTTTTCAATTTAATTTAAGACTCAGGAAAATAGAATTATATCAAAATCTTCTAAAATACCACTCAAATAATTATTAATTAAGATTAGGGACACCAGTATGTTACATCACCATTGGCACGTATCAAACTTGGTAATGTTTCTAGTTTTAGCGGTCATCAGCACAGAATCTAAAAGAGATTTAGCAGTTTTGTCATGTTAAATGACTATAATGAATGTCGTTTTACGGTAGAAAGCGAGGAATCTCTTTATTAAATATGATGCTAAACCTGGACTTGTTTACATTATTGTATTTTCTAAAATAAAAAATATAGGTAAGAAATATTTTATGCTTCAGCTATAAATTTTGGCTGGTTCTGGTGCAAATATTCTTAATATACCTTTGAAAGGAGGCTTATTAAATGAAAAATCATTCTACAGTCTCTTATACATCGACAAAAACATTGACTTGTTAGTAAAGATCGTGTCTAAAAATGAAAATGAAAAAATATGTTTATTAGTGGATTTTAAACTGCCTCTTTAAAACTTTCATGCGAAAGTAAAGTTCAAAATACAGACGCTACAGACGCTTAAGCCATATTTAAGTGTGGCTTGATTAAATGTATTGGAAGTGAGTGTAAGCAGATAAAAAGGCGTAATAGTGAAAATAAAAAGATAAACATCAATTTATAACAATATCATGATATAACGTGGACTTATGCATTAAGATCCGAATAAATCTTTTAACCTATTATTATTTTATCATATCTAACCATTACGGAAATAGAAATTCTTTAAAATAGTTTTATCCACAAAGGCTCAAAATCAAACTTTGTTGGGAATCGATTTATTATTTTCAAAACCACCTCGGGAACTTTTTCAATGTAAAGAATGTGATGAAAAATAATATTTGGTTTTAAAACATTTTTACTTTCATATCAGATTTAAACTTCTATTTATTTATATATTGTATTATATTGTATTACATTTTCTCTTTACGTATTAATACAGAGAAGGATTTCGTCAATATAACGCAAATATTATGAATCTTATCCAAACGTTTCTATTCATTGACATTTTAAAAGAATTTCAATTTTATACATATGATTAGATACTAAATTATTCGACTTCAAACTATAGAACAATTTAATAATTGATTGTTATTATTTTTTTTACTTATGAAAAAAATCAATCTAGCCTGTTTATTAATCTGCAACAGACTAAAAATTAAATAAGTAATGCCTCGAAAGACTAGAAGGGTATAATTTTAGTTGAAGAGTCATATTTGTATGCCTAAATTAAAAGTATAATTATTAAAATAAAAAAAAGTTATATTCCCGCGCTCTGCACATAATTGATAAGCCACCACCTTAAATTAATTACATTGTTTTGAAGATTAATTGCTGCAGATCAGTTCGGTACGCTTTGCAGATCACAAAATTTGACATCGTACGGATTTGAACCATTTTCAAACAAAGAGGTTTGTTTTTTTATTAACATTATTATTTTTATGATGAAATAATTGATTTATTAAAATATTTGGAACCATTTGCACTTTCCATAGAACAACGTACAGAAAAATTTACTTGCTTCAAGCAAATCATTACAACTGCAATTCGTTCAGCCCTCTAGATAGCCTAATGCGCTTTTCGAAGGCATGCATATCACAATAAAAATTTTGATCGTGCATGCCTTCCAAGAAAGTCTAGTCTTCCTGTATCCTATTTGAATGATTGCACGAAAATAGTCATCCCGAATAGAGTATTGTTATATAATCTTTTAGGGGTAGTCAATATACTTGGTTGGATCGTGACATTTCCACTGAAGGCATTGGCCTAGGAAGGACGCCTTGTTCTTTTCCTCTTGTTTTATAACATTCTGGAATTAATAATATGTTTAAATGTGAACACTAACATGAAAGATAAAAATTTATCCATGGTTATTAGTTACTTACTTTCCATCTTTACATTTATGGTCAAGCTTCTGATTGAATTTTCTGAGTTGGTATTTTGTGCGAAACTAGTTTAGAAATTTGTCAGAGAATTTATCACGAGTACTAAAAGGTTAGGAAATAATTGCTT